TTCCAGTTTGGAGAGCCAGTTTAATGTCAAGGTTCCAAGTAACACATCCCCAACAATGAGAACTCTGAGGCAGGTATATTCCTCAAAAAAACATTTTATTGGGACATATGAAATTGGCACAGAATGTCAAGCCCATCCAGGAAATTTGCTCCTATAGTCATTACTTTCTCGACTATAATTGGGGGAAAGCTTTCATAATATCCCACCCCACTCTACTCCTTCTTTGGAAGGAGTAGATTTTATAGAATGTAGGTTTTTTTTAAAATTCTAATTAACCTTTTCAAAGCTTCTAAATATTTTTGATAGCTTGATTTATATTATGAATCTGATCTCTAGAGTTTAATGAATTCTGGAGTTTTGGTTGAATTTAAGCCATGAAATTTTATCCCAAGAAAATAATACTTTATTGTTAATAATGGTTGCAGATCAGAAAAATAATACAAGATTTTTAGTCATTATTCATATTTTAGTTGATATAGCATAATGTGAGAATTTAATTATTGATAAATAGAATTCACACATTGTGCTAATATCAAAATCTGGTATTAGAAAGTGCAACTGTTTAAAAATTCTTTATGGTGATTATTAAATCGGTGGAAAAATATTTTGAAATAATCTGAATATAAAAATTGATATTAAAAATGGATAAACTCTAAACTTGTGCCCGTTCTTTCAATGAAACATCTGAGTTTGGCTATTATCTTAATTACTAAATTAAATTTAGTTTAGAGAGTAATTTGTTGTAATTTTTCAGAGAATGGTATTATGATAATCAATTTTTCTGTTCAAAAAGGAATGTGTGCTTATTAATCATCACACCAAATAACCACAATAATTGAAGGCTTCTCCATTGAATATTACGGATTGTATTCTATTATGTTAGTTCAGTGTGGGTTGGTACATAGATGTTTTTTTGATTTCCCAATCAAGAAGTGAGGGAGAGTGAATGGCCCAAAATAGATATGTTGGCCCAATAAAGGAAAAGGATTGGGTCTCCCCACTTTCAGGCTATATACTTTAACTGCTACACTACACTGGATGTCATATACATCCATCCATCAATCCAAACTCTCTTTCTTTCTCTGTATTTTCTCCTCATGGGTTTTAATTTTGAATATTGATACATCATCAGGGTTTTTGTGTGTGTGTTTGTTTTTGTATTACCTTGGCTCTTGTTTCAGAGTATCTGGAACTTTAAGCAATTTAAACATGCTCACTTTAATCATTAATCCAATTATAGTTACCAAGTCACATAATATTAGAAAATTATGAATCAAGCTATTTATTATTTAATATTTTGGATTCAATAGGTATTTGCATAGCTGTAAAGATTTTGAAATGTTTGCAGCTGGGTCTAACTATTTAAATGGAACATTTCTGGGTATGTACATAGATATTATAAGCAATATCTAAGCTGAACAGAAGTCATATATCCTGCTTTACAATTTGAAAAACATGTTTCAGTGTTAGAATTGAAGGAAGTCATAACTAAAACAATTGACCAATTCAAAAAAAAGATTTCTATATGTTAAATATATAATTCTGTTAAAATTATAGAATTTGGTAATGGGACATTTTTGTTCACTGATTTAAACTGTGACACATTTATATTTCCAAGGATGATAGAAGGCTTTTACTATTGAAGAAACAGGAAAGCCTTAAAATTACCACTGTGTGAAATATTCAAAACATTGGTGAAGTAATGTGGTTTGATATAATAAATGATTTCATGTAAGTTTTTAGGGAAATAATGTCCCAAAGATTTAAAGGGATAAAATCTTACAATATGATATATTAAGTTTTTATCAGTTTATAGTTATATAAAAATGACTTTTTTGTTTGATTTTAAGACATAATTCTATAATAAGACAGTTCCAAAATTACTTTTATAACTTTTTGTGAAATATAAATTCAAATATTTATTTCAAGCTTACGCTCATTTTGATAATGGAAAAATAGGTGATGGAAATTTGATTTACACTAAACATCCAGATGAAATATTTAATTGCTGATGAGAACAAAAACAAGTCGTGGTTGATAAATAAACCCTTTAAAGGACAAGATAATCTATTCGATGATTTAATCTAACTGGCAGAAAAATATCCCTTTTGGTATCAGAATGTCCTTTGTATTGCTTTTATAAATTTGGAAGCTGCTTTTGATTTGATGTCTAGGGAAATATTGTGGATACTGGAAGCCTTCAACTTGGGAACCTGCCCATTACAGTCACAGGTCCATGATTGCCTTGCTTAATGCCTCTCCACACCTGCTTTCCCTGATGTAATCATTAAGCAAAGCATAGGGTAGGGGAGATCCTCGGAGATCTAGCAAAGACTCTAAGTTGCTTGCCCTGAGTCTCATAAAGTTTTCCTCCATACCTTGAGGCACCTTATCCTCCACTTCCTCTCCACTGGGTCTTGCAGGCCTTGAGTTTCTTTCCCATCTAGCTACTTATCCACACAGTCTGCTCAGGCTAGCTGTAATGCGTGGGAAGTGACTGTTGTCAACTCTGAAGTGAACCTGGCTGAAACCATCTTGTGCTTCCTTTCAATTGCCCTGAAGCCTGAGAGAGGTAGAGGAGGGGGAGTAGATAGCCAGCTTACAGTCAAAATAAAAAGTTTTCCTGTGGGAATCAAGGTCATTGTAACAGGTGGCTGATGAAGGAGGAGAGGAATCTGCCAGCTATATTCATTGGACAATGTGACTGATGGCACTGGGGAGGGAGGGATGTTTTACTCTTTTAATTAGGTGAAAACCACAGGAACCTTCAGAGTTGGTTTTCATTGGCTGTGCTGATATGATGTATCCAATAAACTTTGAGGAATCTGCCTGCCTCAGAGTTTTGATTTCAATGGGTGCATTATTCAGAATGCTGACATTAAACCAACTCTCCTAACTTTCCGTTCCAATTGGACCTGTTCTCTGGGGGTGGGGAGGTCAATCCCCGGATGCTCACCCAATCTTTTGAGGGGAGCAGAGAAGACTCAGGGAATACTGAAGATATGGAAAAGCAGGGGGGAGGAGCCACCGGTGTCAGTGCAACCCCCATAGAGAGAGCATGCAGATCCTCAAGGAGAGCCTGCAGATCATGGTGATACTGATAGGTCACCTTCCCACCAGGGACCTGTCCCAAGGTCTGAGCGAAAGTGACGGCTACTGGGGACTTGTACTGGGCTGAGGAGGACCTCAGACTCCAGGCCTCTGTTCAGAGGCTTGGGATGGAATTCCAACTGACATCTACATGGGATTTGGCCGCTTTTGCCCCACACTGGAGAGAGGGAAGTCCTCCCAACTTAGACGAGTCTGGAGAATACATGACAGCTCACTAGCTGAGATCCATGAACTAAAGCAAAGAGGCCAAAAGAAGCTAAGGCTAGGGTTAGGTCCTCTCCCTATTCCGAACAGTCCTGAGAAGGGAGCTTTCCAATGGCTGGAGGACATTAAGCAGAGTGATAAAGAAAAAGCCATGTCTTATCAGCCCCCAGGAATCCCCCTGATTCCCAAGGAATGCCAAGACATCACAGAAGTTTTTATTGAGGCAGAGTGCAATGTGCTGCCCCCTCACCGGCCCACTGACTGTGCAAAAGATTGTGCCAGGGGTGAAGCTACACAAACTGAAGCTGTACTCAATGACACAGAAGGAAATGAAGGAGTTAAAGGAATACATTGATAAAAACGTGGTGAGAGGGTTCATATAGCCAGCAAAGTCTAGGGTGGCTGCATCGGTGCTTTTCAAAGAGAAAAAGGATGGGTTGATGAGGCTATATGTTGATTTTAGAGGAATTAATGGGATCTGCGTGGAAAATACGTATCCATCCCTCTAACGAAAGACATGCTAGCTCATCTATCAAAAGGAAACATCTCCACCAAACTGGACCTGAGAAGCATATTACTGAGTGAGGATTAAGGAAGGGAATGACTGGAAAACTGCATTTAATTGCCCCCTTGTGAGTTTCCAATTTGAAGTAATGCCCTTCAGGCTGCAGGCCCCCCCCCCCCAGTATTTATATAGCTAATTAATAAGGTGCTGCATGAACACCCATACAGGGAGGTCTTTGTATGCTTAGATGACATTCTCATCTTCACTGAGACACTAGAAGAGCACATCAAGCTGGTATGCCAGGTGCTCAAAAAACTCCTAGTGGTGAAACTGTATATCAAATTGTGTAACTGTGAGTTTCATAAATCCAGCCTAGACTACTTAGGGCAGGGGTCTGCAACCTTTAATATTCCAAGAGTCATTTGGATCCTTTACCACAGAAAACACTGGCAGTCACAAACCCTGAGTGATGTGGCCAGCTCGATGTCATTCACTCTCACCCAGTTAACATGACCCCCTCCTGCCCAGCCATACCTACCCAGGTTTTGTGGCTCCTGGTGGTTTCTATGAGAAACCGGTTCCCCCCCTCTCTCCCCCCGCTCTTTTTCTCTGTCTCTCATCTCTCTGTCCCGGTCTGTCTCTCTGTCACTCTCTCTGTCTCTCTTTCTCTGTCTCATCCATCCATCTGTGCTCTCTTGCCCAGCTTCATGTGTCATGTGAATCCAACCACTTGGACTGTGGAGACTGACAGGCAAAGCCAACCTTTGAGATCCCCACATAATAAGGCAACTCCAACCCGGATCCTGTCGGGGAGACATCTTACTTTCCCCACCCCAATGGCAGGAGTTCAGGCTGGGAGGAAGTGGTGCAGTGCCACCTGGGTGGAGGGGGGGCAGATGGCAGTGGCAAAAGTGGGCAGAGGCCCTCAGATGAGGGAAGTGGGCAGAGGCTCTCGGTGAGGGAAGGCAGATGCACTGTCTGCCTCGGTCATCCAGGCAGGTGGGACATAGCTAGGAGGGACATGTAAGCCAAACATTTGGAGCCACGCTTAGAGTTTGCAAGCAGGCTTAGCAGGGCCACTTAGCGGGGAGGGAGACCCCACCCTGTTTGGTTCACTTCAGTGCAGGGTGAGAACGCAGAAGGCAGAAAAAATCAGTGCAATATGTAGAGCAGTGGTGATGGTGTCCCCTGTCGACCTGTTGCTTCTATAAGCAAACTGGTGTTGATCAAAATTTGGTGGAAGACAGNCTTGTCTCCTCCCCACAGGTCCAAGGCTCAGGCGCCTCCTGGTGGCCAACCAGCCTCTCTGCGCCCTGCTCGGAGTCGGAACCCTGTCCAGGGTCCTCAATATCCTCCAGAGCCGACTCATAGGGCCCCTCGCTGTCGGAGTCTGGTGGCAGCTCCAACGGCTCCTGCTGTGCCACAACACAGTTCATATTTTTTTGTGAGATAAAGAGTGATTTTTGCCTTTATTTAAACAAATTTAATGATAAAAATTTTAATATGGATTTATAGGGGCCTAAGACCATAAGAATCAGGTCAGATGGCCATTTCCACCCACTCATTTGACACTAGGTAGCCAGGTAGTCTAGAGGGTTCTTTGGAACTGGCATTTTCACAGATTGATATATAGCTTTGCCGCAAGTAGTTTTTTCAGCATTTGATGCACCAACTTCACATGTTCTTCTATGGTTCACTAAAGATGAGAATATTGTCCAAATAGATAAGGACACCTTTATATTGTGCTCATGTAGCACCTAGTTGATTAATTGCATGAAGACAGCAGGGCCCCATTGTAATCCAAATGGCATTACTTTGAATTGGAAGCTGCCTTGTGGGCAATTAAAAGCGGTTTTCCATTTGTCTCCTTCTCTGATCTGCACCTGATAGTGTGCCTCCCACAGGTCTAGCTTGATGAATATCTTCCCTTTGGCCAGGTGGGACAGCATATAGGTAGATGTTTACCATGCACACCACATTTATTTCTCTAAAATAATGCAGTGCCTCATCGACCCATCTTTTTTCTCTTTAAACAAGATGGGGTCGGCTGATTTTTCTGATTATATGAACCCCTGGGCTAGGTTGGCATTGATATATTCTTTTAACCCTTTCATCTATTTAGGAGTCATGGAATACACTTTTGGTTTTGGTAGTTTAGCCCCCGGCACAAACTCAATTGCACAATCTGTGGGCCGTGGGGGGTGTAGAGCATTGCATTCCTCCTTGCTAAATACCTCTGCTAAATCTCAGTATTCTCTTGGGATTTGGGGAGTCCTTGGGAGTGGTTCTGACATTGCAGCAGCTTTCTCTCCTAGGTCAGTGTCACTTAGCTGCTGAAGGGCTTTNTTTAGCTCTCATCAGCTAGCCATACCCTTACTGGGATTTGAACCTGGGCATTTTTACATACTAGGCAGACTTCTTAGCCATTAGGCCACAGGCTCTTATCCGTTATCAGCGAAGCCAGGGTGAAAGGTATCTATTAGATTTTTACAACCCCTGGTAAAATCTAATATATATATATATATATATATATATATATATATATATGTATGTATGTATGTATGTATGTATGTATGTATGTATGTATGTATGTACGTACGCGCATGCGCACGCACGTGCGCACACACACACAATCTCTAAAACTTTCTACAGGTTTTACCTCTCCTTAGCCTCCCTTTGGTGGCTGGATGGGATGGAAGCTGAAAACTAAAAACTATATAGAGCCCTTTGCATGCTAGTAGCTTCTGATGTCTGGTTTTAGGTTCTTTGGATGACTGAATGGCAGGTTGGGAGCAGGCAAAGATCTGTGGAAACTCTGAAGGACGGGGTGGAGAATGGGGTGCCTTAGGGAATAGGGAAGCTTCGGGAAGCCTGGGTCAGGTGTGCCTCCCAGGGCCTTCCTCACCCTTGAGGAACTCTGTGCTGTGCTTAAGAACCCATGTGTTTGTTTAAGGGCTGCATCAGGGAGAGCAGGAGATAGGGGCCTTTAAGCAAGATAATCTAGGGTAATGGCATAACCACTTATGACTGTAATGGGCAAGTTTTAAGTTGAGGACTACCTGTAACATAATTGGCAAGTACTATTTTGAAATACTTGTAAAAACATGTAAAAGTGAAAGCTTTAAAAAATTACAGAAAGATGGAGACCTGAGATGTCAAGAATCTTATATGGCAAAATTTGGAAATTATTAATACAATGGTATTGACAATGTTTCAGTAAAATGCCCTTTTTCTACAATAATTTGCCTTCTGCTTTTTTTATACAACACATTTAACCATAAATGCATATCTGCTTTATTAGGATAAAATTGAGATAAAAGTTTTATATTTTATAGTATGCATTGCTCTAGTAAGAGCATGTTTCATGTAGAACCGTAATGGCAAATGTATGGCAAGCGTGCCACAGGTGGCATGTGAAGCCATTTCTGAGGACATGCTAGGCATTGCCCTCTCAGTTCCAGCGTGCATGCACATACTGGCAAGCTGATTTTCGCCCTTGATCTTCAGCCAATTTTCTCCCTCAAAAAGCTTCAGGGTAAAAAACGTCCCAACATGCGTACCGGAAGTTCAGGAATGGACTTCTAGGCTCCCTGTTGGACTGTTTTTCTCCTTCAAGAGGCTTCCCTGAAGACTCCAGAGGGCGAAAAATCACCCAACGTGCAAATCCATTGGACCATTTGTTCGTTGGGCCATTTTTTGGCCCTCCCCAGGTTTCAGGAGGCTTCCCTGAAGGCAGGGTAGGGCGAAAAACAGCCCAACAGGGGCCATTGGAAGTTTGGGAATGAACTTCTGGGTTGCTCATTGGGCTGTTTTACTCCTTCCTGAGGGTTTAGGAGGCTTTCCTGAAGCCTGTGGAGGGCAAGAATTCGCTTCCCAGAAGTCAGGAGACTTCAGTGAGGCTAGTGCACATTTTTTTGGGGGGGTTGCGCAGGGGGAGGGCTTTGCACTATGGGTTTGGGAATGGAATGCGCGACCCCCCCCCATGGTCCCTCCACTATTGGCACACCTCGACAAAAAGGCTAGCGTAGAGGTTAAAAGCACTAGATTAGACACTGGGAGACTATGTGTTCTATTCCTTCCTTGGACATGAAGCATCTGGGATATTTTGGACCAGCATCACACTCTCCTCTTAGGAAATAAGTAGTGTTAAGCCACTTCCAAAAAAATTTCATGAAATTTTGATTTCATGAAACTCTAATAATTACTTCAGACAATTTTCAAGAGTCAAGAATTATTTTGAAGGCAGCAAATAAACAAAAAAAAAGCTTTAGGTTTTTTTTGTTCATAGACGTTTTAAATTTTTTGATATATCCATTCATACTGATTTTTTTAGATGGTGCTGAAATGATAGGCAAACATTAGTTTGTGTTCTGAGACAAAACTAATAGTAACAAAATTATATGTTTTGCTATGTGCTATTTGTTGTAAACGTTATAAGCCAAAAGAAATGAAACTTCGTATATAATAAAATAGAGCAAGATAATTGAGGTTATCTTGATGGGTTGCTAATATTCATTATCTTTCATTTTCAGTTTCTAGGGAATGGGAACAAATTTTATTTTAGATTATATCTTGTTTGTTGTGAGGTTTAATATGCTTCTGTGTTTTAATTATAATTCAGTTTATGAGCATGAGATGTAATCAATTTCTTTATGAATTCAGAAATATATAACCACCAGAGGACACTCATGTTTTATGAATCATAATTGAGATTCAACTAAGATATTTAAAAATTTGTAAGAGATTTAAATCACAAATGATTCTGAGGAGTGCTAATATATGTAATAAAAGTACCAGAATTTCTTTGTTTCTCCTTCTTACTAGTGTTTCTTAATGTTGAATTGAAGCATTTCTAAAATTACAATAAATATTTATTCATTGTCCTGTTTTGGCTGTAAAGTATCTCATATAAATAACTACAATGGTTAATATAGTGATTCCTTGATTTGCTGATGTTACTGGCTAGGGTGCCAGGAGTTGATTTGGAATGCTGGATTTTATTTTATTTTTAATATTCTTTTTTTCCCATCACGTTTTTTAATTTTATATTATTTATACATATCAGTGCGTGAAGGGTGCGATACCTGGGTATCATACATTTTGATACAAAGAGATAATAATATTACTCATAGTTATTACATTTCATTTTCATTGTTTCAGATTTTTTAAACATACCTTATATTATCGCCCTTCAGTTTCTAAGATCTTTTGTTCCCTTGTTCTTTCATATATCTTATTAATATGTTTGTGTGTGTGTGTTATTATTATTACAACTGTATCACAGCGGCCAGTTGTTTCGCCGGATTTGGTATTGATTATTAGTCGGGCCCCACCCAGGGGCCTAGGACGTCATAACGTATTTTCGTAATACAAGCAGTGCAGCTTTTTGCATTTGACTGATGGTGATTTTGTCAATTTTTAACTGTTTTAAATGTAATTNACTAGGAGAATGTGAGTTCTAGTTCTGCCTTAGGCATGAAAGCCAGCTAGGTGACCTTGGGCCGATCACTAGGAGAATGTGAGTTCTAGTTCTGCCTTAGGCATGAAAGCCAGCTAGGTGACCTTGGGCCGATCACTAGGAGAATGTGAGTTCTAGTTCTGCCTTAGGCATGAAAGCCAGCTAGGTGACCTTGGGCCGATCACTAGGAGACTGTGAGTTCTAGTTTTGCCTTAGCCATGAAAGCCAGCTAGGTGACCTTGGGCCAATCACTAGGAGACTGTGAGTTCTAGTTCTTCCTTAGACATGAAAGCCAGCTGGGTGCCCTTGGGCCAATCACTAGGAGACTGTGAGTTCTAGTTCTTCCTTAGGCATGAAAGCCAGTTAGGCGACTTTGGGCCGATCACTAGGATACTGTGAGTTCTAGTTCTGCCTTAGGCACAAAAGCCCGGCTTAGGCGAATCACCAGGAGACTGTGAGTTCTAAGTCCCTCCTTGAGCGAGTCCATCTCTCTCTCTCTCTCATCCCCACCCACCTCACAGGATCGTTGTCGTTGCGGACAAAATAGCAGGAGGAATGTGAGCTTTGAGTTGTTTACTTTCAGTTGCTGATAAAAATAAATAAATAAATAAACAGCAGGATATACAAATAAAGGAAAACAAAAGAATTTGGCAGGTGCCCCATTGGGAGCCCTGCCAGATATCAGGGCGGGCAAAGCATGCAAAAACACCCCCCCCTTTAAAAACTAGAATAAAGCACGCAGATTGCAAGTGGAGCCAAGCTTGGGTTCCCCTCCCCTGCCCCCTCCTCGCCCTCCCCCTTAGTGCCCAGTTCGGGGCGTGGATGGGTATCTTTGCTGTCACGCCTGGAGAATTTGAGCTCGTTCCCTGCCGGAACTGAACCTCGGACTCTCGGTTTTTCCTTCTCCGAAACCCCTTCTCTTTTATGAGAACGGCCAGGTTTCGCTCCCCTTCATTCCCCCCCTCCTTCTCTCCTTCCTTGCCCCACCTGTCTGACTCACCCATTGGCTTCCCCGTGCCCCACCTGGCTCTCTCTGGCCCCCGAGTCCCTCCTGTTTCCTAGGAAGCACCTGACAAGCGTGGATTATCCGAGCAGATAAAGTGGATTAATCGCTCCGGTTTGACCGGTTTGACAACCGCGGCGTTTTTTTTCCCTTCTGCAGCCAAAGGCTTCCTTTCGATCCCAGCTCCCCCCAACGGCTCCTCTGGGCAACGAACCAATTTGCCACGGGCTCGGCCTGCACCGCAGGGAGGCATGTTGGAGGACGGGGTAGCCCTCCCAGGCGATGAGAGAGGGACCCCGATGTATACCCGATTTACGTCCCCGTTTGAGTCTTCCAAAACTTCCATTGTTGAGCAAGACGGTTGTTAAAGTGAGCTTTCCCCCGTTGTACGACCTTTCCCGCCACCGTTGTTAAGCAGATTGCTTCCGTTGTTAATTGACAAACCGTGTTGGCTTGTTAAGCAACTCTGGCTTCCCATCTTCCCCGTAAGATGGCTGTTAAGTGAATCGGGCTTCCCCATTGACTTCGCCCATCAGAACGTCGCACAAGAGGGTCGCGTGACACCCCACACACACACGCGCGACCGTCATAAATGTGAGTTGCCAAGCATCCGAAGGAGGCTGCTGCTATGGGTTGTACGGGTGAAAAATGAAGAATAGTCTCTTTTTTTCCAGTTGTTTTCCTGCAGACGTTTCATTACCCAACTAGGTATCGTCATCCATGCCAGTGGGATTCCTCTGCTTTATATACAAGACTATTTGATAACCTGGCATTGCCCGGGTATTGATTTATAGGGGGGAAATGTCTAGACCAAACGTAATTTCTAATGTTGGATTTTCCCCCTTAGCGGAGGGAGTCCTCTGAAGCTGTTACCATGGCAACTCCAGCGCGCCGTACAGTAGAAGCCATTTGAAGGCACAACAGGCTGCATCTTAACAGAACACACACCCTGAGGGGTGTTAGGGGCGCCTTACCTGCACGGTATTTGTTTCCAGAGAGTAAGTCATCTGGGTACCAAGCTTGGTTGAAATTGCTCGAGGCGTTCCAGAGTTATGCCGGAACACACACACACGCACACACGGACACACACACACACAGAGTTCATTTTTATGACCGTCGCTTTGTCTCGGAGGTCGTGCGATCTCCTTTTCCGTGACAAACGAGCCCGTAGGGGAAACCAGATTTACTTAACAACCAGGTTACTAACGTATCAACAGCAGTGATCCACTTAACCACGGTGGCGAGAAAAGTCGTAAACGGGGGCAAAACTCACTGAACAGCAGAAATGTCAGGCTCTGTCGTGGCCCTAAGTCGAGGACCACCTGTACTCATGGGAAGAGGAAGAGTCATTCCAGCCAGATGTTTCTTCCTGCCACTGGTCCTTTGCACCAGAACCAACTCATCCTTTCTTCCCCCAGGTTAGTCCAGGAAGCTAAAACTCATCATTCCTGGGGCTGACCTTGCTTCCTCCTGCACGCCGAGAGCATATCAGCCTCTGACGCATGATCTCATGTCCTCCCAGGTGGCCTTTGAGCTGGTTGAGTCACCTACACCAGCCTGGCCCTTCGTCCCTTTCCTCTGCCCAGCCGGATGGAAGCGGGGCTGGATGGAGGCTGGGCAAGGGCGTATGCTGAAAAGGTGAAAGTGGATGATGTGGATAGAACGAGAGAAGGTGGGAAATGACATCATCAACACCGCAGGTGTGTGCGCACACACCTGTCCTTCGGGACCGGTTTACCAGGGAGGATAAACTGGGAGGGACTGGGACATTGCATCCAGTTTTGGCCGCCATGATGGAAAGAGGGTGAGACTCTAGAAAGAGTGTAGAGAAGAGCGAGAAAGATGATTAGGGGACTGGAGGCCTAAAACATATAAAGGCCAGGAATTGGGTATATCTAGTCTGATGAACTAGGGATGCCGTGGCTCAGTGGCTAAGACACTGAGCTTGTCGATCAGAAAGGTTGGCAGTTCAGTGGTTCAAATCCCTAGCGCCATGTAACGGAGTGAGCTCCCGTGACTCGTCCCAGCTTCTGCCAACCTAGCAGTTCGAAAGCAGGCGAAAAATGCAAGTCGAAAAATAGGAACCANCTCTATAACCGTACAATCTGTAATTATAACTAACAAGAATAACTGAGGGGTAAACTTTATCCTCTTTTTAAGAATATTTTGAATAATCCACCATATTTCAGCCAACCATTGAAATGTGTTTGACTCATCTGCTAGCTATGATGTTATGACTGAAGGCTCTATCTCCCTCAGCTCCAAACCATGTGAAACTGAATTCATGTTAGATACAAACAATCCCACATCCAAACCAAATTCGGGATTGACACTATTGAAGGAAATAACATTAAGTTACTTTTTAATAAAATGTTAAAAGGTTACTTTTTTATTCTTTTACAATGTTAAATATATAAGCCATTATATTCTTGCCTACAATGTGTAATAAGTTACTGTGCTTTTGCTAACCACAAAATGTGTTCAGTAAACACAAGGATAAGACAACCTTTGTTATTCCAAGCCATTTGCAGAGCCTACATACAAGTTAGATAGGAAGCCATCTGCTCAGATGAAAGGCACCAGAAAAAATCAATTAAGAGACAGGAGCCTCTCAAGAAAATGTCATGTTGACCCTTTGAAGTATGGAATGATGAAAGAAATGACTTAAATGGATGAGCAGGAGGGGGAGAGTTTCTTAGGAGTAGAGTATATAAAATATATTGTTTGAATGCTATTCTTTGCTCTCCTTGTACTAGATCCATGGGAAGAGATTTGGAGGCCGCCTTTGCAAACACTTTTTATTTTTCTGTAAAATAAACCTTTTTGAATTGTGAACCAGACTTGTCTCCGTGTTGTGGGGATTTAATAATTGGGTTTTTATCTCACACTATTTTCCAAAGCACCAGAAAGCAGGACAAAAAAAAACAATGAATGGAAACTAATCAAGGAGAGGAGCAATGTGGAATTAAGGAGAAACTTCCTGACAGTCAACTAGTGGAATGACTTCAGAAGTTGTGGGTGAGCCTGTGGTGAGATTCAAATAATTTAACAACCGGTTTTCTGCCCTAACGACCAACTGGGTAGGCGTGGTTTGGTAGTCATGTGACCGTGTGGGCGTGGACAACTCAATATCACTCAGGTCGATGGACGCTTCATCTTAGCTGTTACAATGTAAGAAGGGTTAACTGGAGAGGCAGTTTCTGCAAGCAGGGCAATAAAGATTAGGCTAGAAACAACGCCAGACTGTTTCCTTCCTGCCTCCCTTACAGGATTAGCCCTGTAAAGTAGAAAAAACAAAATTAGATTTCTTCCAACAACCGGTTCTCCGAACTGCTCAGAAAGTTAACAGCCGGTTCTCCCGAATAGATGCGAGCTGGCTGAATCCCACCACTGGGGTGTGCCAACACGGGAGGCTTTTAAGAAGGGACCGGACAACCATGTGTCAAAAATGGTTAAAAAATGGTTCTCCTGCCTAAGCTGAGTTTGACCTAGAAGACCACTGAAGTCCCTTCCAACTCAGTTATTCAGTTCTGTTCCAAAAGAGAGGAAGGGGATAACCAGCAGCAAGATGGATGGACTCTATTACAGTGGTGGTAGGGGTGCCATAGAAAACCTGAAGGCTGGAGACCGATCCCCCTGAAAACCCCAATGTACTCACTCAGAGCTGATGATGGCATCAATTCATATAATCAGTTGTTTCCCTCGCCTGTATATTAATGAATACATAAACAAATAAATAACCAGCAACTATTTCAAATAAACTACAGTTCTATTCAAGACTGCTTTCAGACATGTGAACCTGACACTTTTTTTTTTTTTTGAATTACGTATTTGGTGTGTTGTGCTTTTCTCCATCCCTCTCACTTTCTTTCACTTTCTTTTGGGATGTAAGCTGGAACAGCTGAGCAGGTATTGGAATAACAGAACAACAGAATGCTGCTTTATCATAGCATTATTTTTAACGGGAGGTGTATCAAAAGTGTTTTTTTAATAACATGGATAACCAGCTGATGATTCCAAATAACAGGAAAGCAATATAGTTTGTTTATAGTTTTATAAAAGCCACTGAGTTCAAGGACCCAGTTTGGGGAGATCTGTCGTGTGTGTGTGTGTGTCAGGGGTGGGTTCCTGCCAGTTCTAACCTCTTCTATGGAAGAGATTCCACAAATCTACAGTGCCGTTTAGAACAGGTTCCAGCTCCCTCCCCCTACCCGTCCGTCTGCACATCATCAAGATGAAGAACGAGAGGAGGAATTCTGGGAGTTGAAGTCCACAAGTCTTAAAGCTGTCAAGTTTGAACACCCCTGGGTTTTTTTTCTAAAGGGTTAGGAGTGCGAGGGTCTTGTAACTTCACAGCTTTAAGAGTTATGTGCTTCAAATGTTTCTGAGCCAACATTTTGGTTGCTAAGCAAGAGCGTTGTTAAGTGAGTTTCACTATATTTCACAAGTTGGCCATGTCCACCCAGTCACATGGCTGGCAAGCAACTCCCAC